TCCTTCCGGTCAAACCTGGCCGGGACGCTGGGGTTCCCCCCAGCCTCAAGGCCATTTTTTTTTCTTTTTTTTTTCTTACTTTTTTTTCTTTTTTCTTTTTATTTTTTTATCTCTTTTTTTTCTGTTCTTTTATTTTTTGTTCTCTTTTCTTTTTCCTTTTTTTTCTCTTTTCTCTTTTCTTTTCTTTTCTTTTCTTTTTTTTTTTTTTCAGCAATTACAAACAGTTTTTTTTAAAATTCTTTTCAATTGTTTTTGACTTTATATTTTTTATGTTTTTAAAATAAAATGATAGTCACAATAAATCCCCCCCAAAAAAACTCAAACAAGATGCAAAAGGATTGTAATGAACCTTGCAGTCAAACTAAGTGAGGAAGAGAGGGGAGGTACCCGCGGTACCTGCCAAAAGTAGCGCCGGTACCCGCCGGGAGGTGCCTGGTGCGGTACTTGGTACCTATTTTCTGAAAAAAATCAACAGGTACCTAGGTACCAACAGGTACCCGAGTACGAACGAACGATCTCTAGGCCCACAGTTGCCTAGATTTTCACAGAGAAAACACACACAATGAATAATTTGCACAAGAAGATAAGAGAGAAACTAAATGACTGCGCTAACACTATGTGTGTGGGCTGCAAAAAAGGGCCCATAATGCTGCACTACAGCTTGTTTTAGCGGTTTTTGGGCTATTTTTGTTGCTAAAAGAGCTGTAGTGCAGTGGCACTAACACTGCAGGTTTGGGCTGCTGTTTTGAGGGGACACTATGCTCATTGCTAACATTAGTGGACTATGCTAACATTAGTGGACTATGCTAAAATTAGTGGACTATGGTAACATTAGTGGACTATGCTAACATTAGTGGACTATGCTAACATTAGTGGACTATTCTAACATTAGTGGGCTGTTTAGCCCATTTTTAGTTCAAGGACTACAAGGAAGAGACAACAAATATCATAACTAAGAGACATATCAGACTATAATTTGAGAGCAACCAGGACATGCTTTTCAGAACTTAGTCTAAATCAGAAGTACTGGATAAATATGAAAAAAGAGAGAGATTGAGGACTGAGCCAGCTGAAATTCCAACAGAATACACAAGGTGCAAATCTCAAACAAAATCCAAGTTTGGGAGCAACAGCTCATAACAAGTTGGTTGATATACGAGTAACTCCCCCATGGGCCATAAATTAGGTCTGTAGGTGGAATTTATGGAATTGACAGGACTCATTTTGGTTGCTACAACCTACAGCAGTCTGTAAATTCTCCTTCTACGTCGTCACATGTAAGTACTCAGCTACAACCTACAACCAACAACAATATGTACTGAAACTCAACCCTCACACACCCCTCTGCCCTTGGTAGCACACCTGTCGTCAATTTTTACAAACTTCTCTCCCAAGTTGTGGTGTATTCCAAAGCAGTTTGAGAGCGTAAAACTAGCTGCATGTACCCAATCATCATTGTCAGCCTCGTGATGCCAAGATGGTTAATCTTCTAGCTACATGTGGTGCAAAACTTAAGATGACAGAGTTCAAACTCTGGGACTAAAGAGTCCGGTGTGTAATTCCAACAATGAGTGGTAATTACAAGGTTATGAGATAGTAGAAATGAATAATTATATCAATAAATATTTAAACAGAGGGGCCTGATAAATCAGGGGTGGTTTAGTTCCCTCTAAGGTATCGTGCAAAAAGCAGAGGATTTAGGTACCTGTTAACACTGGGGCCTGTTTAACAGGGGTGGTTTAAATCCCAGAAGAAAGTAGTAAGAATCTCAAGAAAGAAGGGGGCATTATGTACTAATAAAGCCCCTTAAGTCTTGAGGTTCTAATATAGACAGAGAATTAAAGCAAGAGAAAATACATTACCAGACAGATACAAATGTTAAGCATTTGGGACGGTGGGTAATCTAAAGTGGGTTGTAATAATCTGAGAAATCTGATTTTGGGGGGAAAGAGGGCTCTTTATATACCCGTGGAGGCATCTGGGAGATCAGGGTCAACTTGTGGGTGCTTCATGCATGGAGGCTGAAACATGTGACCATATCCTTAGAAATGTGCCACAGGTGTTCTGTGGAAGATGAAAGCTGAAACATCTGGCTATTTCCTTGGAAATGTGCCACACACGTGTTATCAATATACAAATGTATGTTTGAAACACCAAATCAGTTTCAAGTCTTAAACCTGTTTATTAGCATATTTGATTATAAACATAAGCATATTTCATTTCCTTCTGGGAGGTACACTCTATATCTTTAATGTAGATTTGCTGCATGAAGTAGTTGAAATATGGGGTACCTTTGAGTGAGGTACCCTAGGTTATTATTCATATAGATTAAGAATATTGAGAAATAATGCTCTTATTATTTGATATTCTCATTTATTTCCAGCACTATTCATTATAATATGTTTTGCATTTTTCTAAAGCGTTTGTGTACTATGACAGGTTGTCTCTGCTATAGTAGCAAGCTGACAATCATGATCTTATGGCCCAAAAGTAGAGGCTGCGGTGGAGTTGCTCTGAAGTGATACATGGGCAACTAAACTGCATCTTCATAAAATCAATGGGGCTTGCCCATCCTGGGGACCCAACCACATTAGTGGTTGGTTAGGTAGAGTCAAGATGTCCGATGACTAGCTCGATGTTGACAGTCAAGCCATCAGATGACTGATAGCTCGATATTGAGAAGGTTGTATATCCGACGTTCAGGGCACTCTGTAAGACGGCGATTGCAAGATGTCCTTTGTCTTATTGCCAATCCGATCCCCATATCCAGCTGCTCGTGTTGTGTCCTACTTTTTGAGCAGGTTTTTTTTTTTTTTTTTTTTTTTTTTTTTTTTTTTTTTAAAGTGCTATTGATTTCACATACCGCACTATAGCCTAGTGATTTTTCTATATACAACTGTATTCTGTATGTACATAACCTGAACCGTAATATAACATAAACAGTTCCCTAATAAATGAAGCAGACAATATGTTGAGTGAGGTAATTGAGTAAAGAAAGAAGAAAGAAAAGGAAAGAAGAGAGAAAAGAGAAAAGAAGACGATAAGGAAAAGGGAGAAGAATTTAAGCTAGCGTCAGAGCTCGAGGCGCCCCTTCCTAGGCCTATCCCACCAAGAGAATTGACTTTCGGCAATGAAGTAGCCCACACTTTTTGAGCAGGTTGTGTTGTGATGTGCCATATCCGGTGAGATATGCTTCCCCCGACCTCCTTCGTTGTGCTGCGAATTCGCTCTTGAGCTGGGTCCCCGTCCCCCCCGAACTCTTACCCGGTCATCAATGTTCTTCTTCTCAGACTGGCTTCACTTTTTTCAAAAAAAAAAATTCAACACCAACCATCAAAAACCCAAAAACGATGTTCAGTCAAATAGCAAACCAACAACAACAACAGCAGCAATCAGAAGCATCAAACCAACTCAGATTACTCAAAAGATCGATCGAATCAAACCAACATGAACAACAACAGCAACAACAACAACCACTCATGAACACTAGTAACAAACTAGCACACCATCAAAACAAGAAGAGACTCAACAAACATCGACTAGACACCCCTACAATAACAACAACAACACCAACAGCACATCAGAAATCAAACAAACTACACAAGACAACCAACTACATCAACAACAATAACAGCACCCCTCATCGGGTAAATGTGTAAACCAAACTATAATACAGTCACACATCCATAATGACATCCTCCTATCTATTCAAACCATTCCCCAGTCACGACAGGTCCCTCATCGGTCTACTCTTTCCACCAGACTCTCATCATCTTCATCTACTCGTCATCCAAGACCTTCCCGGATCATCGGAACTCATTCACACTCCGAATCCGCTATCGATGTGCTCCGTAAACTCCTCCAATCTCGTTGGGATCCCGTCACCAAACTGCTCGATCTCGCTGTGAGTCTCATATACTTCCTTTTCTTCTTCAAATCACTCGCGATTTTTCCTTCTTTCGCTGATTTCTTCCTCCCTTAGAATCTGGCACAGGATAAAATCTTGAAGGCCGCCGGAATCGCTGCGCCCGGTCAAAAAGGCGCCCCTCTAAGGACCGCCGGAGCGATCTGGAAACTCTGCAAAGAGATCTGTCCCAACGTCAGTTCTCACCCATAACAAAAAAAAAAATACCCTACCATCATCTGAATAACTTGAAATTATTCTCTCCACCAGGTCCGATCGATATCTCTGGCAGAGAACCAACTACAGAGTCTACAACCCATGTCCATCAGCAGTTTAGTCGCGACTTTCCCGGAACTAGCCAATCTATCTCTAGCCGGAAACCGACTCGGCTCGTTTTCTGATCTCAATGCGCTCTCACCGACGACTGGACGTGGCGGGATAATGAACGGCTGCTCGTCCGGCCTCACGAGTCTACGCGAGCTGATCCTGACAGGCAACCCGCTCCGAACGCATGCCGAGAAGGACGGGCAGACGGGTCTGCAGAACTATCTTTTCGAAGTCGTCCGACGCTTTCCCAGCTTAGAAGTCTTAGATGGCGAGGCGATTGATCCTGCGATGAAGGCGACGATTGCCGCGACCGTTGCGGCTGCACCCAACAGGTCTCAGTCGATGGTCGAAGAAGACATGATGGCCAAGCAACTCGATACGCTCCCTCCTCAACCACCCCTCCCGATGTCGATCCAGCCGGCCTTCATGAACGACTCGTCTACCTCGACCTTCGTTGCCGCCTTCTGTCTCCAATTCTTTAACGCCTTCGACCACGATCGCGCAAGTCTTATGGACGTCTACGCCACCCAGTCTTCCTTCAGTCTCTGCGCCTCTCCCTATATTCCCGCCCGTGCTAAGATGGCCGGGCTGACGAGAAACAGCCCCGATATGCCCGCTCAACAGGTCCCCTCTTGGAATGAATATATCGCCATCAGTCGTAATAATGCTAGGCTTAAAGGTCCAAGTAGGTCTTACCCCCTCCCCCCCCCCCCCCCATCATTTAGGGATTAGAATCCAGGATCACCATAATAACCGGGGTTTTATCAATACATTCGTTAATGATATATCTATCTCTCACCATCATCATCGCAAAAAACTTATTTTTATTAACAATTAAACAACCAACCCCGAAAACAAAAATAATTTTGATAAAGAATTGAGTGAAAGATTAGCGAATGGGCCCGCCGAAATAGTAAATTTTATGAAACAGATACCAGGGACGAAGCATCCGATCAACGGGAGCGAAGACGGGACGAAGTTTGTTGTCGATTCGTGGCAGATGGGTGGTCTTGTGAACGAGAATGTGTCGGTTGGAGGGAGCGTGATATATGTGTCGATCCATGGCCAGTTCCAGGAGCTCCCTTCGTTGACTGTCCGCAGCTTCGATCGCAATTTCTTGCTTGGCGCTGCTGGTCCCGCTTCTGCGTTCGTATCTCTGTTTCTCTCCTTTTTTTGGTTTGGATTGGAGGCTGATTTTCTTTTGCGTTTTCGGGGTTCGTGGTTGTCTTGTTGCAGGGCTGCTCTGAAAGGCTGGCCTTGTGTGATTCTTACAGATCAGTTAACTGTCAGAGGTTACTCCTCTCCTCAAGCTTGGGCGCCCACTGCCACCACAAGTATCACTCCTCCTCAGCCCCATGCCTCTGCTCCGGTCATACCTCTTCCTTCAACTACAAACAATGGCTTGGCTCAGCCTCCAAAACCTCTCATTGTCTGTCATCTCATTGCTTTTCCAAACAAAACAAAAAATCAAACTCTTTCACTGACTTGGGGGGTTTTATTTTGTGGTGGTGGTGAAAAAAAAACATTGTAGATGAGTGAAGAAGAAAAGAAAGAATTGATCAAGAAAGTGATGGATTTAACAAACTTGAATCTAAACTTTACGCTTGATTGTTTGACCCAAAATCACTGGAACTTTGAAGCTTCAATCAAAAACTTCCATGAGATCTTACAGAGAGGCGGCTTACCCCCTGATGCTTTCTTATCTTCTTCTTCTTCTTGAACCCATTTTTCTCTTACTTGTACTTGGTTACCCCGTTGATGATTGTCGTTTTTTTCTTTTTCTTGTGCTTTTCTGTCCATATTTCTGTTTCTGCTTCTTCTCAAACCTCTCCCTCTACCTCATCACCAACAACATCTTCAAGCTTCATTACCCCTCCCCATCTCTGCCTTTCCAAAAAAAAAAAGCTTCCTTATCCATAATATATTTACCCAATAAAAAGAACAGCACCACCAACAACAACAAAAAACATTTATATATCATTCTATCCAACCTCACAAAAATCAAAAAAACTGAAAACACTCACACAACTGTATTATTAGCTCAGCTAGGCTTTCTTTTTTTGTCATCTTGTTTTCTGTTTTTTAATGTGATTAATTAAAATAACATTTGGTGTTTTATTGGAGCTTACTGCTTATATGGGGTGGAGAATGGTCTGGGTCTGGAAGTTGAAATTCTTGCCTTGTTTTTCCTTTCTCAAGCTCTTGAATCAGTGGATTGGTTCCCTCAAGTAGGATGTTACCTGTTGCACTGATGCTGTCCAACAAGCCCTGGAATGGATGACTTACCATTGCAATCTACAACCCTCCCAGAATTCAATTGACACCCCTCAGACCTAAATTTTTGGTCAGAAGAACTCTTTTTTCAGAAGCCTTCTGGCAATGGCTCCCATGTGAACTGGTGTTGATTGTGATTTTGTTTTTAATTTAGGACTCAGAGAGGTCTAAAAATCTCTCTAAAGCCCAATACAAACTCCTCCAATAGTAGTAAGATGTGTTGATTCAAGACTCATAATCAAAAACCTCTTGATAGTATTCTTATTTGTTTGTCCTTGGCCTATTTAACCTGTAGACTAGGTCTCAGGAAATGAAATGCGGATCGGTTTAGTCTCATTCTTAAACTGTGTCGAAGCCTGAAGTATAAGGTTGTCACTGAGATCCTTGTCAAATTGTTCTCCCACTTGATCATCAAAATCAACATTTGAAATCCCTTCATGATTAACAGTCAAAAAGAGTATCTCCCATCTATCTGATCTTTTATCCACCATGTCAAAAATGCAGTCTGTATCATAAAACTTTGATCACTCAAAACCCATGCCACCAGGAAAAAAGAATTTTCACTAGATGAAAGGTGACATTTCACATTGATTACTTCTCCACTGTAGCTCCAGTGTTACTGCAACTCAAATAATATGACCCCTATGTGTACCAAAGGGGGATATATTAGAGCAGAGCTGGATACATGCTGGGTAGCATGCTAAACTTGGGCTGATGTCATTTGAAATCTATTGAGCACTTTTGTTTCCCAGGTTGTTTCCTCTTCATCTCATCAAAGTTGAAAAAGTTGCCCTTGTATGTCTCCCAACCTCAAAGACATCCCCAAATCTGTAAAAATTTGAATTTATCACCTGTATCATCAAGCTAAATGAATGAAAAGACTGCATCTCTGGAAGAGTAAGCACACAAAAAAAAACTAAAATTCAAGGCATATTTGAACCTGAAGATCATTCAGAACCTTGCTTCTTCAGTCATTACTACTAAAATCCCACCTACTGATTACTTCAATGGTAAATTTCTTTGGACCCTATTGAGAGAAAACCCCATTGGTCAACTCACAATTTTCCATCTTGTTCTGCCATTGTTGAATTTCTGTATTGTTAACTCATTGCTCGATAACCAACATACTTAAACTTAACTCACAAGGTTTCCTAAATGATCAATCATTATTTTAGCATTTTATTAGTATCAAGGCAGTATCAGTTAGTCAAAGAACCTTGTGTAACAGTTTTTGAAACTCAAACAACTTACTGTGACATCTGCCAGCTGTGTCACCCATTCTTGCAGCGCTGTCAAACTGTGTCAACCATATCCACATTTGACATGTCAAACTCAATTCATCATCATCTCAAACCTAATCTCATTGCTCATCTCATCTATAAATTGAGCTTGATCAGTCTCAACATTTCTTCTTCATTCTTCCAATCACTCATCAGTAGTCAAAATCAGTCTTGGCTTCTCCTAATAGAAGCACTCTCAAAAACACCAATCAAAGAATCAACTACACTTCAACTGCCCAACCAAGCTCAAAAGCCTACTCAAAAACATCTTGTTGTTATTCAACTTGGTGAAAAATAACATCAAAGCTCCACAAGTCATACAGTTGCGCGTGTCATTGTACTGTATAAAATTTTGGGATGTTAGAATGGTCGGGACCCAAAATTTGGAAAAATCTGAGTTTTTTTTGTTAATTTCTGGGGGTTGAGATGTCAATCTGACATCCACACTGCTGTAATCAAGCCAGCTGATGCACTTTTGAGCATGTACATTGGCTTTAAGCTTATGTGTATGGGCTTAGGCTGACATATAGCCATATAAGTATGGGTTTATGGTGTCAGCCTATTGCATATTTATGTACTTAGGCCCCCATATTTGGCCTGTGACCAAATGGTCCAGTGAAAAAAAAGTTTTTTTTTGGCTGGACCACATTGGTCGCCGATTTCGATTTGGAATCTACACACCTTGTAGACTCCAAAACGTATTCTTTACAGGTGCCGGACCCCTGTTGGGGGAGAGGTTTAACCCCGCCAACCAAATCAACATTTGCGGGTGGCCTTGTACAGTAAAATGCTGCGCGCCACTGTAATCAATTGTAACTGAACTAACCTCCAATGTTCATCTCTTTCAGTCCTGTTTTGTTCTCACTTTAGTTGTCTGTCATTGTTAATTTAACAAAACATTGGGTATGTGGTGTTCTTTTCTTCATATCATTTTTATATTGTTCTCATCTAATTGTTTTTGTTCTTTAGCTCTGGTTTTCCTTTTTAAGTAATTTTAATCCAGAGGTTCTTTAGTAGTCATAGCTTAATAATCCTATTCTCAAATAAAAGCAGTAGAGAAGGCCCAATTGAGGCCTTAAGAGCTGTGTAAAACCTATTTTGAGGTGTTAAAACCTGTGCAGGCCCAATATGGGGCTGGCATTTAACAGTGATTTCTACTGTGGAACTACCTGGTGGGATCAGATAGAGTGTGGAAGGGGAAATATGCCGCGGATAAGGAATTACTCTCTGATTGATGTGGCAGACTAATTTCTGACTAAAGGACACGGATAATATTTCTAAGGACTACAACTACTAACCCAGTGACCAGGCTGAGCACGTCAGGGAACTGATAAGGGAACAAAATATGAGGGGAAAACAAGGCTCCTTATATAAAAATTCTGGGGAGTGGCCAGCTTGTGGTTTGAAGAGGATGGAAAAAAATCAAATTGAAACACCACAGTCCAGTTGGTGGACAGTAGGAAAAAACGGGGAAACAATGAAATAGCCTGCTTACCCAAATGGGTGCATATGTAAGTCTGAAAAACACATAGCCACATGTAGGCACATGCATAGAGGTAAGATACTAATCCCCAAGTGGGCCCCAAGTGGGTGCATTAGTGTGGAATAGAGAGATAAGAGAAAGAGGAGTGCATATGCAGCATCTCTAAGGTGGGAAGGAGTGAAACAAGAGAAAACAAGGAGGATCCCTAATACCCTGGCCCTGTCTGAGGGGTGAATTCCCCCCTCATGAGTAGTCTGGATGTCATGAGGTTGCTGTCTGAACCAGGGACCTGGTTGTTTGGAACCTTCTATCCTGATTGTGCAGGGAATTTTGGGCTTGAAGTTTTTATCTGGCTCACCACACCGCTACATTACATAACACTAAATGTCCCACTAAATTTAGCTTAGAATCCCTCCAAACAATGAACCAACACTGTAGTGTTAGTGCACTATTAGTCCCATTATGTTGTTTTACTCTGTGATACAGCGCTTTTAGCAACAAAAACCACTAAAATACACTTCAGAGCAGCATAGTGGACCCTTTTTTGTGGCGTGGATGACTGGTGTTAGTGCAGTCCTGGCAGAAATTCACTGCACTGCGCTAAATGTTAGCAGAATTCTGCTATGTTACGCTGCACTCATGCTACAGTTAGTGTAACTGGCCCATGGTTGCATTTAGATCCAGCTCCATAAAAAAATTAACAGTTATTTCAGATACTATAGATTATCTAGTGTATTTTGGTATTGTACCTACCTAGCATTAGCACTTCACAATAGGGGGTATCAAATATAATAAAACACTAAATTTCACCAGAAAAAATGGCACACAGGGTGATTTTCCCCCCAGCAATGTTGTAATTCAACAGCCATAACACTATGGAAGGCCAAATTGGGCTGACAGATTCCAAAAGCTCATCTGCTAAATTGGAAACATCCCATTTCTTTGTAAACTGATACCGTAACAAGTTGAAAAAAAGAAGAAAAAAATAGTAAAGGGTATTGCAACAGCTACCTTTTATGGTTAACAGTAACAATATCAATCAAAGAATTCTTCCATTAGTGTTACCATGTGGCTACAGGTGGCATAACATGTACAGTGGGTAGACAGTGAAAAGTGGCTGCTTATTTTGGATTTCAGAGCTCCAAAACACAGACTTGAAGCCATGAGACTTGGTCAAATAGTGCAGAATAGGTTCTAAAAAATGAATATGAAAAAATAAAAACAAAAAAAAAAGTTTCAAAATTTGTGAAAAATAGAAAATAAAATTTATTTTTCTCAAAAGCTTTGAAATTCATTTTGGGGGAGTGAGAGTGCTGAGAGATGTTATGAGCTGTGGAGGAATGGAACTGGGGACGTTACATATGTAGAGAGCCTGTTACGTACATGTCACGAACTTCGAACTTGGAGTTCGTTCGAGATCCGAACCTTGTACATTCCTCATCTTGCAATCTACCATCAAGACTCAGAACCCAGAAGATCCCTCACCTGCTCTCCCCAGAACACCCATAACAAGAGAAAGGAAGATTGGGAATATATTAGAAAGATGATTATGAATGAAGATTTTGGAAAATTGGCTTTCCAGATGGCTTCAAAGAGCTGTTGATTGGGACATTCACCAGCCCACATTGCAGTGAAGCACTGAACTTATCAAAGTCCCTTGCTTCGGAGGGCATGGTGACCTTGGCTGGTGTGGCGTGAGCCTCCAAAGGAGGGACTTAAGACAAACACAAACAGGCCCGCGTGTCACGGTTGGGCAGTTTTGGTGTAGCCAACATTTGGACGGCTGCACCGCGCTTATGCCTGGATCTTGGTGGATTCGGAACCAGGGAAGCTCCAGCTGCCGATCTTGCCATTTTCCTCATCCAATTTTCAAAGGAAACCCTTGAAAATTGGATGAGCAATATTTTTTACTTTTCTCTAACTTACTGTAGGTCTTAATGAGCAGCTACTCCGGGTTGATCCTCTGTATCATTATGGGATGGTAGATTCAACCGCCATTGATTACTTAAGAAA